TATACTGTAGTATGATTCCTATAGTATTCTTTCTTACCCGGGTACTTCTAATCTGAAGTCATATCTGTGCCTGACACGTACCCGTACCAAAACTCCTTGGACGCTTCCTGCTTATATGCATACATTTATTTGGGCATGTACTCAATTACACAATACATGTTTTAACTTAAAACACTTGTCATACATTTTGTTGGATATATATCCTACACTTCATATCTACTTCTTGAAACTTTGGACATAGGTCAGCTTCCGAATTATGATTTTGAAGGGATGTTTGGATGTCTAGGTCAAAAGCTAGTGATTTTCCAACTTATAATCCACTAAATAAAAGAAACGCAAAATCATCATAGGAATTTTAATTATCATCCTCATTCTCATATAAATTATTAATTTCAATAAACAATATATATGTATATAAATATTTATATAGCCGTGTCCCCGTACCCTACCTTTTACAAATTTTCCGTGTCCCATACCCGTGCCTGCACCCATACCCGTGCCCATGCAACATAGGTAGTATGAGATAGGAACTACTCCAATAGCCAAATTCAGGTTGCTTGCTAGATAGTTTTAGAATATTGTCCAGTTATTTTGTGGAGTATAGTCAAATCTTTTATAGTCCTTTTCAGTTTAAAATGTAGCGTTTAGATTTCAGATTGAGTATGGTTACAGAGAAGGATGCCGGTCAAAGTCACGTATTTTTTTCATTTGAATTCCGTGTCAGCAAAATATACTTTGCTATTTACATGAATTTCAGATTGATGTTGCTGTACATGAAATGTTCACAGGCAGCTAATCAGATTAGAAGGAAATCCCGACAAGTCGGAGTCTTGCAGAAAACTCTATTTCCACTTGTGATTACACATAGTTAAAATGAAGGGAAAGGCCAATCCTGTGTGTAAATACTTGTCCTCTACGGTCTTTCATTGGATAAAATAAACTTATAAAACCTACCTATCCTTCTGCAAGAGACCGTCCCATTCTTTTGTCTGATCCTTTCTTTTTCATCTTCACATTTTATACATCCCCCCTCAACTTAAGTTCAAGAGTAAAGACAACTGACATCCAAACAATTCAGTTACCTATTTTCATATTGAAATCAAAAAGAAGCTTAACTGAAATCCAAACAAATGAGCTATGCGCTTTTATTAAAGCTAATCCATCCAATAGATTAATTCTCTGACACATGTTAGTTTTGGGAGCTTGAACTTGTGGACAAGGATAACTAGAGAGCTAGTCTTCGGAGGAATCTCTAATGATTGGACCTCCAAGGCCTATAAATATCTGTCATGCTGTATAGAATCTATAATCTGAATTCTCTCATAGTCAATGTCTTCCCACACTCTCCCTCTTTCCTCTAAATGCCTCCTTTTTCATGCAACACTTATCATTTCCGCGTTAACTGGTTGTATCAGTGCATCCACAGATAAAAAGGCAAATAACTCTTTTTTTTTACTTGATTAATTTGCTCATGTACTCCAATATTAGTAATTTTCAGGAGTGGTCATTAGCTTCCTAACATGGCGTCGCATATGCTCATTGGGTTGATATATACCATCATGATTATTTCTTTGCATTTGGAAAATAACAGTGTGGTGGTCTCTTGCTGGGTGTATTATATTAATGTCTAAGTTAACCCTTACAGGTACATATTGTATACATGGGCGATAGGCCAAAAGATGTTTTGTTGGGAGAACCACAACACAGGAGCATGTTAGAGCAAGTTATTGGCAGGTTGTCACCTCCATCTTATAGGAAACATGGATTTTTTTTTTTTTTTTTGGTTATAAACCTGCTTTGCTGTTTCTGGACACATTACCCCATTATTCGCCTTTTGCTTTATTGGATTCAAGGACTAAGATACACGACTTCGCATTTTTGTCATGCGTAATGCAGTCGAGTGTCAGAATCATTGGTTCACAGTTATCAAAGGAGCTTTAACGGCTTTGCAGCTAACCTGTCCGATGAAGAAGCAATGGAGATATCTAGTAAGTAAATTTTAACAGTTTTAACGGTTATATTTTATATTCCTGGAGCAATCAAGTATATTTCTAAAAAAAAGAGGGGTTAAGCCTGATGTGTCTTATTTCCCGTTTGGTAATCGTAGGAATGAGTCAAGTGGTGTCAGTCTTTCCAAGCAAGGTAAGGCAGCTTCACACGACAAGATCATGGAACTTTGTAGGCTTCCCTGTAAACGCAAGACGAGCATCATATGAGAGTGATGTCATCATCGGCATGCTAGACACTGGAATCTGGCCAGAGTCTGATAGCTTCAGCGACGAAGGGTTTGGTCCTCCACCAACCAAGTGGAAAGGAACATGCCAGTCGTCATCCAATTTCACCTGCAACAAGTAACATCTTTAATAAACTGACATTTACTACTTAACATAACAAATATACTTAAATGTAATTAGTGATTTCTGTCAAACAGTAAGATCATAGGCGCAAAATACTACAATTCTGATGGAGAGCTAAGCTCAAGAGACATAGATTCGCCTCGTGACTCAGAAGGTCATGGGTCCCACACCTCATCGACGGCTGCAGGCCATCAAATTGCAGACATGAACCTCTATAGTTTTGCTGAGGGTACAGGCCGTGGAGGTGTTCCCTCAGCTAGGATAGCGGTGTACAAAATATGCTGGTCATTTGGGTGCGCTGATGCCGATATTCTTGCTGCCTTTGATGATGCAATTGCAGATGGGGTTGATATCATCTCTCTTTCGGTAGGAGGATCCTTTCCATTGGATTACTTTGAGGACTCGATTGCTATAGGAGCTTTCCATGCTATGAAGAATGGGATACTAACTTCAAGTTCTGCGGGGAACAGTGGTCCTAGTTCATATTCAGTGGAAAATTACTCCCCATGGTCACTTACAGTAGCTGCAAATACCATCGATAGGCGTTTCGTTGCAGAAATGAAACTAGGGAATGGCAAGGCTTACAAGGTGACAAAAGCATTTGTTTATAAGTTTCCTATTTTAGGAAAATATGAGTGATTAGGTAAGACTTTTAAAATTTTACTATACACTAATTGTAAATTAAATAAGCATAGAAAGTCTGAGGTGCTGTTCTTGATCTATTATGGGCCTTCATCTTTTTTTATATATAACAAAACTCAATTAATTTTGCCCATGTTGATTTCTTCTTCAGGGAGCTGCAATCAGCCCGTTTGACCTGAAAGATAAAATGTACCCTTTGGTGTATGGAGGCAACGCACCAAATACATCTGCAGGGTATGATGGGTCAACCTCCAGGTAAAATTCTGAAAATCTAGTCTTTGGTCTCTATCATTTTTCGGTGAATAATATTTGATTATTGGTAATAATAATGTAATGCAGATACTGCTACCAGGGTTCTTTAAACATAACCACAGTGAAGGGAACGATTGTTCTTTGTGATACATCATCTGATGATTCTGGGCCCTTGCTTGCTGGCGCTACTGGTGCAGTGATGCAGGGAACATACACAGACTACGCATTCTCATATCCATTGCTGACTACAGTTTTGGGCAAACTTGACCATGGAAATGTTTCCCTTTACCTGAACACAACAAGGCATGTACAATCTTTTCCGCTGCTGGGTAAATATAAGGCAATTAAGATCCCTTTTACCGCATGGTTACAATGTAGTTTATTTGATTCTTTGCAGCCATCCAACGGCAAACATACAAAAGGGCCAACAGGTTGATGATCCTGCAGCTCCCTATGTCGTTTCTTTCTCTTCCCGAGGGCCAAACCCCATCACCAGAGACGTTCTCAAGGTAAAATTATGGTCTCACATGTGTAGCTTATGCTGATATTAACTCAATTGAGTGACATATATTTCCTGCAGCCTGACTTGGCTGCCCCGGGTGTTGACATACTGGCAGCGTGGTCGCCTATAGCACCCATGTCAGAATACAGTGAAGATAAGCGATCAGTAGCTTACAACATAATCTCAGGCACTTCCATGGCTTGCCCTCACGCAAGCGGCTCTGCTGCCTATGTCAAGTCCTTCCATCCAAATTGGTCTCCTGCTGCTATCAAGTCTGCTCTGATGACTACAGGTATGACTCGTATCTTCAGTTCTTGTTATAGATATTCCATCTACGGTTATCCAAAGTAATCTCCTGTACTATGAGGTTGTAGACACTTATCTCAGATTCTCTTGTTTTATTATCATATTTGCTGATAGTTAGAGTTAGATATGCGCCGAGAACCTTCCCTTGTGATCTCCGCATGAGTTTAATAGCTATCAGAAAATTAATTCCATCACGGGATCGGGGAGCGTATGTGCTAATACAATAGAGCACGGGTGACGAAAAGCTACGCTCCCATTGTGCAGGGGGCGTATCTGCAAATAACTCCCATACTTAGCTAGTTACCAATCTCCTGTTTTCTCCTGCAGCTCATCGGATGAATGCAACTTCGAACGAGGAAATGGAGTTTGCGTACGGTGCAGGACAAGTAAACCCTGTGGCAGCAGCGAACCCGGGCTTAGTTTACGATGCAGACGAAGCAGATTATGTGAGAATGCTATGCGGGCAGGGATACAGTACTAAAAATCTACAGCTTGTTACCGGCGACAACAGCAGCTGCACTAGTACTAACAACGGAACTGTATGGGATCTCAACTATCCCTCATTCGCTCTATCCGTCAAAACTGGAATAGATTTCTCCGCTACATTCAATAGAACTCTTACTAATGTTGGATCAGCGAGTTCTTCTTACAGAGCAACTATCACGAGTCCATCGGATCTCAAGGTTAGCATTGAACCAACCACATTTTCATTCAAATCGCTTATGGAGAAGAAATCATTTTCTCTGAAGGTTGAAGGGCTAACTAGAGAATCTGTGCTCTCTGCTTCATTGTTGCTGTCTGACGGTGCATATTATGTGCGCAGTCCCATTGTTGTGTATACTTCTTAAATCATGTGTATATCCTAGAAGATAAAGAACCAGAGATGTGAAATAATTTAATACTACAGGCCCCATTTGCAATGTCAAGATACTACAAGGGTTTTCTTGCAATTTACCATGACATAGGTATGATCGTTTCCAAAATCACCCCGTTGGGGGGGTCTTTCTGGTAGCAGTGAGTACAGTTCGGATATGACTCGGATGTTGTGCGCAGCGGAAATTTCGGCAGAGTTTCTGGTGCACAATAAGAGAGAAAGATCGATAAGAATTCTTGTTTCTCAAAGGGAACAAGAATCTGAAAGCCTAATATCCCATCAAAGTGGGATATTTGCTCTTCCTCTCGTCAGCTCTAGGACTGCGCGTCGAGGGATCCTAAAAACTATTACAATGGCCACAAACTCAAACAACCAATTTTACGTGGTGCGGCAAACTGCCTACGTCCACGGGGCAAGGAGGGGATCTACTATTAGAGAGAAAATACAATAGGTTTACAATCTCACAAAATAAACCCTCAAACTAACTCTCTAATCTCTCACAAAATCTCTCTCAAAGGAGGATGCACAAACCCTTGCTACAGCCGAAAAGCCTCTGAAATTTTTCTTCTCAAAAAACTTGCGCTGCCTTTTCTTCTCTGCACCCAGCCGCCAAAAAGAGTTTTCTCTCTCCCCTCTGCCTTCGCTCAAAACCCTATGGAGACCAATTAAAGGCTATATATAGCAGAGGAGATACCGGGTCGTGGGCTCCGTTCACATCCTCACGCGGAAATGAGATGGGATAACTACCAGCGGTTAAAAGCGATATCTTCAATTCACGTGGCTTGGGCTTCACGTGCTTCTCTTACGCTCCTGGTCCCCACGCCATCTTCTCACACGTTCACAATTCTCCACCTCGGCGAAGTTTTTAGAAGAGTTCGCAACCCTTCTCCAATATCACGATCAAGTCTGCGGCTGATAGCACCTCCAATGGCCTCAAACACCTCCACCCGAGGTGAACCACTGGCCATATCCAAACTACGTCTACCAGCTACACTCGAATCAAAACCCAACTCATCATCTGCACCCAAATCCAAATAACTTCCACGCTGTGTCATCTCAGCTGGAATCCCAACCAATGCAGAATGACCTGGAGAATGTGAGAAAATCCCCACCCAATGTGGAGTAGCATCAATCTCCACCAGCTGTGATACCTCTAACTGGAGAATGTGAGAAAATCCCCACCCAATGTGGAGTAGCATCAATCTCCACCAGCTGTGATACCTCTAAGGTCTGTCCAAAACTCTTCACCTACTGAGAGTCAATCAGCTCCCTCATCGAAGCCTCATACAAAGTGACACTACCAGACCTATCTTCCAATGGAGTTTTACCTCCAATCACAGCAGTTGACAACTCTTTAATAGGATGACCCAAGTATGTCGAAGCCTCAGTCCAGAACCTCTTCTGCAAACCATTGCTCGACCACAAACACCGATCCTCCTCCAGCAAGGCATGGTTCTCCAAATTTGCCACCCTATCAAGTTGCCCCAAGATTTCTTTTCCAACGAAGTGTCTCGAAATGCCGTGAGCTCGGCTCCAATGCAGAAACAGGTCCATCTTGTACCTCCCACCAGAATGGAGTACCTTCACCTTTCTGCCAATATCACACTTCTTCAATCTGTTAGAGACTACTAGGACTTTCTCCAATGGGGGGGATTTGGTTGCAACCCAAACATGCCTAGAACAGTCACCAACAAAGGAAACCAAACTTCTATTACCTCCCAATGATGCCCCCTTGGAAGGCCCCCAAACATCCACGTGAACTCCTCCAGAACGACCCTTAGCACGGTGAATAGAGGTGCCACACTTCACCTCGGTCTTCTTGCTCACATCAACATGTTCACTGTACTTCAAACTGCAGGTATTCGCACCCTCTTTCAATCTATGCGAGGAATCAATACTGGAATGGCCAAGCCCCAAATGCCGCAGTCTAGTCAAATCAACAGAAGTCGTCAGCTCTCCACCTGCCACTATACCTCCAGTCAAGTAATACAGGTTATTCATCCTGACGTCCTTCATTACAATCCGAGAGTCTTCCACAATCTCGAGAACCATGTCCTCAACACGAACCTTCAGACCCTCTCCAACCAAAGCTCCAATCGAGATCAAGTTCTTCCTCAAAGAAGGAACATATCTCACATCGTTTAACTCTCTAACAGTCCCGTCAAACATCTTTATGTGAATTCTTCCTATCCCAAGGATCTGGCATGCACGGTTATCAGCCATGTACACCACACCACTATCCACCAGCTTCTCAAAACTGGAGAACCATTCCCTTCTAGGGCACACATGATAGGTCGCACCACTATCCAACATCCATTCAGATTCCTCTGAATAGCTAGCTGTAGGACTGATAGAAAGCGAATAAATAGAAGAGTCAGAATTATTACCATCCGATACGATGTTTGCTTCTGATGATGGCTGCTTTCCTTTTCCCTTCTGCTTATTCTTCATCCATTCGTCGAGCTTTGGGCAGTCTTTCTTCCAATGACCAGTCTCCTTGCACCAAGCACACTGATCTTTTCCTACTCTAGACTGTGACTTCCAATTCTTTCGGTTTGGACCCTTCCCTCTTGCGACCAACGCCTCCGCTACCGGCTCAACCGAAGCCTCCTTATCCTTCTTTCGAAGCTGATAATTCACAAGTGCAGCAGTGACCTCACTATACGAAAGTGATGCCTTCCCATTAATCAGAGTAAGAACGAAGGTCTCATATTCCTCGTCGGGCAAGGAACTCAACAACAGCAACGCCTTGTCCTCATCTTCAATCTTGACATCCACATTCGCCAAATCCGCAAGAAGCTTTGTGTAGTGGTTCATGTGATCTCTAATGGAGGTTCCCTTCTTCAACTGGAAACGATAAAGTCTCCTCTTCAAATGCAAGCGATTTTCCACACTCTTGGTCAAATACTTGCTTTCGAGAATCTCCCAAATCTTCTTCGCAGAAGTCTCATTCATCACATCATATTTTAGATCTTGAGTCAAACAAGACCTAATCACACCACACGCCGTTCGATTCATCTTTTTCCAAACCTTCTCTTCAATCTCATCTGGCTTGCCATCTAACTCCAAGGTATCCTCCAAATTCTGCGCGTTCACCGCATCCAAAACCTCGCATCTCCATAATCCAAAGTTGTTTGTGCCATTAAATTTCTCCACATCTATCTTCATAGAGTGGATATTCAAACTCTGAATGGTCTTCGCGCCAGAAGCACCACCCTCGACACCCGAAGCACCTTCTTTCCCCGACATCTTACGCACCAACGAACGAAGAATAGATCCAAAACTGAAAAGATAGAGTCTTTACCAAAAAGATCCCACCTTTATCACCAAACAAAGCCCTAAACGGGCTTCCAAAGCGATCTACTCCTCCAAATAGCCCAAGCGTAGCCCGTGCTCTGATACCACTTGTTGTGCGCAGCACCACTTGTTGTGCGCAGCGGAAGTTTCGGCAGAGTTTCTGGTGCACAATAAGAGAGAAAGATCGATAAGAATTCTTGTTTCTCAAAGGGAACAAGAATCTGAAAGCCTAATATCCCATCAAAGTGGGATATTTGCTCTTCCTCTCGTCAGCTCTAGGACTGCACGTCGAGGGATCCTAAAAACTATTACAATGGCCACAAACTCAAACAACCAATTTTACGTGGTTCGGCAAACTGCCTACGTCCACGGGGCAAGGAGGGGGATCTACTATTAGAGAGAAAATACAATAAGTTTATAATCTCATAAAATAAACCCTCAAACTAACTCTCTAATCTCTCACAAAATCTCTCTCAAAGGAGGATGCACAAACCCTTGCTACAGCCGAAAAGCCTCTGAAATTTTTCTTCTCAAAAAACTTGCGCTGCCTTTTCTTGTCTGCACCCAGCCGCCAAAAAGAGTTTTCTCTCTCCCCTCTGCCTTCGCTCAAAACCCTATAGAGACCAATTAAAGGCTATATATAGCAGAGGAGATATCGGGTCGTGGGCTCCGTTCACATCCTCACGCGGAAATGAGATGGGATAACTACCAGCGGTTAAAAGCGATATCTTCAATTCACGTGGCTTGGGCTTCACGTGCTTCTCTTACGCTCCTGGTCCCCACGCCATCTTCTCACACGTTCACATCGGATAGGCTAAATACCCATATTGGTATTTTAGTTCAACCTCATTTGTCAAGAAGGTATTTTAAATAAAAAAAATCGGTGTTAAGGCATTTTAATTGATTAAAATTACCAATTAGGTCTTTTTTCTCGTCGGCGACCACTTTTCCGGCGAGAACTCGTCACGTGCGTGACACATGATGACTTAATCTGTATAAATACCCATATTAGTATTTTAATTCAACTCAATTTGCCAAGAAGGTATTTTAAATAAAAAATCGGCGTTAAGACATTTTAATTGATTAAAATTACCAATTAGGTCTTTTTGCTTGTCGGCGACCACTTTTCCGGCAAGAACAGGTCACGTGCATTTTAATCCAACCGGTTTTCTGACGTGGTAGTGGCAGGAAGAATAAGAGTCGATGCATTTTAAAATCCCCCATTTCTAAAATTGGTAAAAAAATTAGCGAAAAATTCGTGGAGAAATTACCGTATAAATAGAACATCTTTCTCTTGCATCGATCCATGGCCGCGCCGGCGGCAATCTAGTCTGCAGTGATCTTCGTCTTCTCACTCTCTTCTCTCCGAATTCCCATGGCGTTTTCTTCTAGAAGTTCCTGGAATCGGGGGTTTTGGCTGATTCTGTTAGCGGCAAAGGTAAGATAATTGAGTTGGAACTGAGATCTGGAGTGAATGCGTGGAAGTTTGATCTTTGTTTTGAAATTTTTAGAGTTCAGGTTGGTTCGTTTTGGACTTAAATTGTGATTAAGCCACATCAGCAGCTAAAACCGAGCCACATCAGCAAACCGAGCCACATCATCAGCTAAAACACAGATTAAGTCATCACATGCCACACACGTGACGAGTTCTCACCGGAAAAGTGGTCGCCGACGAGAAAAAAGACCTAATTGGTAATTTTAATCAATTAAAATGCTTTAATGCCGATTTTTTATTTAAAATACCTTCTTGGCAAATGGGGTTAAATTAAAATATCAAT